CAAGGCTCGGAAATGCTCAATCAGGGCTGGGGCTCAGCCTTGGATCAATCCTCCTTCAGCCCTAAAATGATAACCTCGTTTCAGGCTTAGTCCGCAAGACTTGAACGAGGCTTGGTGCCAAGGCTTAATTCAAGCCTTGAATTATCAAATTTTAAAGGCTCAATGGAGCTTCGGCTAAATAAACTGGGGTATTGTTACACAGATATTTGTATAAACAATTTCTTATTGCTTCATAACCCTTTTTATGAATTTAGAGTAACCTATGAAAAAGAGTGCGGTCGGACCGTACATCACTGTTGCTAAGCGTTGTTGGTGATTGTGATTGTCGGTTAATTAACAATGGATGGGAAAAAAATTATTATCATCATTAGTTTCTATTAATTATTGGTCCTGGATTATTACCGCGCACCTAGAAATTGAAATACAATGAAATCAAACATTTAAAAATTTGCTCCTGCTGGGGTTCGATCCGGGGTCCTTCTGATCCGTAGACAAGCGCGCTATCCACTGGGCTACCTGCGACTTCTTAGGATGATACATTTTTTTCGGGTATAAAAATTCAACTTGTGTTAGTGTTATTTTGTTATTTTGTTAATATCCTAATTAAACTTCCGGAACTTGAATAAATGATAGATGGATTTATGAGTTCAGAATCGATTNCAAGGCTCGGAAATGCTCAATCAGGGCTGGGGCTCAGCCTTGGATCAATCCTCCTTCAGCCCTAAAATGATAACCTCGTTTCAGGCTTAGTCCGCAAGACTTGAACGAGGCTTGGTGCCAAGGCTTAATTCAAGCCTTGAATTATCAAATTTTAAAGGCTCAATGGAGCTTCGGCTAAATAAACTGGGGTATTGTTACACAGATATTTGTATAAACAATTTCTTATTGCTTCATAACCCTTTTTATGAATTTAGAGTAACCTATGAAAAAGAGTGCGGTCGGACCGTACATCACTGTTGCTAAGCGTTGTTGGTGATTGTGATTGTCGGTTAATTAACAATGGATGGGAAAAAAATTATTATCATCATTAGTTTCTATTAATTATTGGTCCTGGATTATTACCGCGCACCTAGAAATTGAAATACAATGAAATCAAACATTTAAAAATTTGCTCCTGCTGGGGTTCGATCCGGGGTCCTTCTGATCCGTAGACAAGCGCGCTATCCACTGGGCTACCTGCGACTTCTTAGGATGATACATTTTTTTCGGGTATAAAAATTCAACTTGTGTTAGTGTTATTTTGTTATTTTGTTAATATCCTAATTAAACTTCCGGAACTTGAATAAATGATAGATGGATTTATGAGTTCAGAATCGATTGATTAATTAATTATAGATAAGGATAATAATAATTATGTAGCCTCCTGCACAAAGGGCTGCTCTAGGCCTGGTCTGGGGGTAGCTTAGATAACTTGGCGGAAAATTATAGCTATGTGTGTAGATGATGATAATGTTTTCACCACCATTAGCTAATGAGTATTGATATAAAAATTGAGGAAATTAATCGAAAGTAACTTTAATTTTCGAGGCCTTGCTGAGCCCTGAATAAGCCTTGACGTACTGAGCCTGAATACTGAAAGGCTGGACTAGGCTTGAATTGAGCCTCGCCAATGGCCCCTTTAATCATCCTCATTTGAAGCTCAAGTGAACGATGAAACCAAGCGTATCCCAGGCCTGAATAACTGAGCCTCGCCAACCCTGGGCTCATACAGGTTTGTTCTCATCGTCAGCCTATGTAATTCTTACCTGGGAAGTTGCATAGCGGGGTAAAATGGATAGTACATGGTTATCGATCGTGGATTACAACGTGAGGCAAAACGGAATATCGGGGTACATTTAGACTATCCAATCTACCTCCGATTGGCTTTATCCCATTTTACCCCACTGTCCAATTCATTTCCATATTCCTTTTTGCCCCACTATCTGGTTGACTGGCCTCGCATTTCGCCTCATCCCATTTTACCCCACTGTCTAATTCACCACAATATCCCATTTTTCCCCATCATCTAATTTACCTGCCTCGCAATCCACCTCATCCCATTTTACCCCACTGTCCAATTTATCTCGATATCCCATTTTACCCCACTGTCCAATTCACCCCGATATCCCGTTTCACCAGTCTGTACAATTTACCCCGATATCCCGTTTTACCCCACTGTCTAATTCACCGGCCTCGCAATACACCTCATCCCATTTTACCCCACTGTCCGATTCACCACCTCTTCCCATTTAACCCCGCTGTCCAATTTGCCTCATCCCATTTTACTCCACTATCTAATTTACCGGCCTCGCAATTTACATCATATCCCATTTAACCCCACTGTGTAATTTATCCCGATATCCCGTTTTACCCCACTATCCAATTTATCTCAATATCCCATTTTACCCCACTGTTCAATTTACCCCGATATCCCGTTTTACCCCACTGTCTAATTCACCGACCTCGCAATTCACCTCATCCCATTTTATCCCGCTGTCCGACTCACCACCTCATTCCATTTCACCCCACTGTCCATTTTACCCCACCGTCCAATTCGCTTCATCCCATTTTACCCCACTATCTAATTTACCGGTCTCGGAATTCACCTCATATTCCATTTTACCCCACTGTCCAATTTATTCCGATATTCAGTTTTACCCCACTATCGAATTTACCGATCTTGCGCTTCACCTCATCCTATTTTACCCCACTGTCCTTTCCACCGTGCTTCCCCCTATCTCCCCTCGCCCTCCTCGACCTCCGCTATCCCGTATTGTCCCTTGTTTCCCTCTTATCATTCCCCTTCCGTGCATTGCATATATAAACCCTAAGAAAACTATACCCGCCGGAAGGAACCGCACGGCCTACAGGACTCCCGGACATCCAACGATCACCGAAGTTAATCAGCATCGAGCAGAAACAGGATGGGTGACCGATAGGGAACACCGCTCGGAACTCGAGAGAAATATTCTCGAAAACCAATAGTCCGATTTTTTTTTGTTTTTTTCCCATATTCGTCCGCCGAGTATATTCTATTAATATTGGTTTCATCGATCCAACAATTGATCTGGGCACGCATTAAAGCAATCAATTGATTTTGGCTGAAGAGGGGAAGGAGGAAGGAAGAAGATGTACGTTCAAGGAACGTTGAAAGTACGTTCAGTTTCGACGTACTTTCGACGTAGAATCTGAAAAAAATGGAAAAAATCAGGCCCGGTCGCGCACTTCGCGCGCTCCCTCTTTGTGGTATGACCGGTAGGGGTTGGTGGAATTGGATGTGACCCATTACGCGTCGCACCAATAACTTCCCGACCATTTGTTTTTTCTTTCATTAATTTTTTTATTATGTATTTATTCAATCTTTTTCTCACATTTCTCCGAGGAAATACCCATAGAAGACAAGAAAATCCGTGCGCGTGCTCGCACTCACACACACTCCCATGCACACACATCGCCGTATTCCGCATCGAGAAAAGATGTAATTTATCAGAAAAGTAAAATTGTTTCTTGAATGTATATCGATTTCGAAAAAAGCTAGTGAACTGCTGATTAAATGTCTTCCAGTATTCCATGATTTGTGCGTTATATCAAGATTCATCGTTTCTAACAAAAAAAACTTGAAATCGCATCGTTATGCACGGAGAAATGGTCTCGTTTACAAAAAAACGCTAATTTTCGACTTTTTTCCAAATGTTTTTTGGAAAAAACTGGAGAAACGCTGAGACGATCGTCTCCATAATCTAATCAGGTTCAAGTCACATGAAAATACAGCGATTAAAAAAAAAAAGTCAAATCGCATCGTTTGTTCAGGAGGAATCGTGGCACAAAATTTTTGTCACAGTCGTACGCACACACATACACACATCCACACATACAGACAGGTACCTGAAAAGGGTCAGAAGTGGTTCCAAAGGTCATGAAATGTGAAGAAATGCTTAAATTTCCACTTTCGATTTTCGGGGTCATTACAATAACTTCCTCCCTTCGGGTCGGGAAGTTAATAAAAGACGATATCTACGTCGAAAGTACGTTGATCGGTTCATTTAGCCCCGTACACTGGTCAATATGATTTCAACGTCCTAAACGTACCCGGCGACCACGTTGGAAAACCCCGGTAAAATTTTGACTCGGGTTTGCAAATAATGGGTTTAAACCGTCATTAGGCGCGCTCTTTTTAATATCGTTACAATTAAATGCACTTGCAAAGTGTCATAGTTTGTTTGGATTTAAAAAAATAGACACAATTTCTTCTGTGAGGATTGCGGATGTGCTCTTCCTAACGCTTCAGGCAAAACTAAATTTTTTAATAATCTGGGACTTGGTTGCAGCCAATTCTAGAAATACCTACAATTCTAAACATTTTTCGAGAACTATTAGTGTCAAAGTTAAAAGTCTCTTGACTTTCAGTAAATAAAAGACAAGTTTTCTCGGTGAATTTCTTAAAATTTCTTTTCAATGGATTTTTTCCATGCTTCGTAACCTAAAAATGAGTTTCATAAAAATTGCAGTTCAAATTTTTTTTCCGCAAATGAAGTTAGTCATGTTATCAGATTCAAAAATGTATCTTCAACTCCAATTCGCATAATCAAAAATCAATTGATCAACTGCACAAATTTGTCCCAAAATTTGTCTCAGAAGAAAAATGACTGCTCTCAACCCTTCAGCCATGGGAATCCATTCAAGTGTAAAAGATCTCTTATTAGCGACTGTACTACATTCCCGCCGAGGATGCCACGACGGCTCGTCGGAGCAGGCGGCGACAGGAATAGACCTGCGCAATTCCGAGATGCTGAGCCCCACATCTCAATTAGTTTCTCACCAAATCCATCCATTCATTCATTCATTAATTTTTTTATCAACTTTCATGGTCCTCTACGATTGTCGTTTCACTCATATCTTAAGTCCCACTTAATTTTTTACGGGCGATTTGACACGTTTGGAGAGTGGGCGACATGTAATCCGGAAAGACCGGTGAGAAATTTCCCAGGAGGGCCACACCGAACCGAACGGTTCAGCCTTTTATTCACCCGATACGAGAAGTGACTGCGCGGAAAGAGCCCAAGAACCCACTGAGTGTGGGTGTTGTTCCGGCAAAGAATGCATAAATTGCCATCCACACACGCCCCTGACGCATAATGTATATGATATAGTGATTCACGTATGATTTTTAACGAGCAGGCGCAGCGGGAAGGAATTGGACAAATTTTTTTTTTCAATTTCATGTTTCGATATATGTTATATACGTTTATTGACTTTCAAGTGGATCGATTGATCTCTTTGATGAGAATATTTCAATTGAGAAGATACAATTTTTTTTACCGACGTCGGTGGCCGAGTGGATTAGACGCAAGTCTGTGCGAAAGGTTGTGAGTTCGATTCCCCGTGGAACCGAATTTTTCAACGGAAGGCTCCGGCGAGCGGGAGGTTACTAATAGAGGAACCGCCGCCTGTACCGGCATGGGTTTTCTGTGGTTTCCCCATGCTACTTCTATGTTCTATAGAAGTGCGAATGCGGTACAGTGTAGAATCCACAGCCGCATGCATAGGGTTGGATAGAGTGCCGAATGGGACCCGAAAAAGGGACTCCGAGGCCGTAAAAAAAAAAAAAAAGAAGATACAATTTCATTCATCAATATTTCTCAATCAACGGAATCCAGTAATTATTTTTTTATAAAAAAAATTAATCTGTTCATGAGTGAACTGATGCGTTAAAAATATAGGAATAACAAAGAACCGACTGTAATGGTTAGGTGGGTGAGGTGTTGCTTCGGCGGACATCCAAGCTAAGCAGCGCTGAGCTGGGTTAGTACCTGGATGGGTGACCGCTTAGGAACACCTCGCTCGCACAAAAATTGCGGGCGGTAGGTACGGTGTAGCGGCCTAGTGTCTCCATCTAGTCAGTGTGACGGATGGATACATTAGGGCACTGCACAATCGGCCGGCTGTGCGACTGGGGTTTTACATGGTTTCCCGTGCAGTCCTAGCTCGAATGCGGCACAGCTAAGAGTAAGACGGTCATGATACCGCAAATAACAATGAGAGGAAAAGAAAGGAGGGGAGGCAGGCTAGAGGAGGGGTTTCAAATCGAGAATTACTTCGATAAAACCAATGAAATAGAAAAATAAAATAATAAAAAAAATATAGGAATAACAATTCATCTTTCGATTGTAAAAACATGATTCGAGAAAGAGATATATGGTCTCGCCATTTTTCCAATGAATATGATGATGGAATGAAATTTTAATACTAAAACACCACTATAGAATTTCATTTTTTAAGGATCGAGAAAAACAAATATCTATTGCCTTCTTTCATTCAGCATACTAATTTCAAAATTATTCAAAAAACATTGCTCTTTTTGACTCATTCCAATTTATTGTTAAAAACTGTGGCATGAAAATTCGGAACAATTTGTCTGTTGAAAGATTGAAGTGTATTACCTTACGTCTCGTATGAGAGTAGGAGTAAGTATTAGAAGGATAGACCACAGTACATCCGTATTTTTCAATGAACTAATTCCATTAATTATCTTATTATAAATACTAATCATTTCATAAGTGGATTAATGTTATTTAACGGTCATAAATTTGCAATATGACAAAAAATGGCAGTCATATTCAGAACCCTATTCCTCACACCTTAACTGGTTGAAAAATGAAAGATATAATTTTTCAAAAATTCATTTGTTGATAGATATGACGATGGCGAATGCATCAGGTGTTTTCGTTTGAACCAACGATCTCGAAACATAATAGAGGTTTTCTCCGAGGCCCTCAACAAGTGCTACACATACGAGAAGAGTGCGATCGCCTCTTGCGAGCATCTCAACACGAGAGCGATTCTTTACCGTAAGTAATAATCGACTTGAATCATGAAAAACCATGAAATTCAATAGACCAGAAAACTCGAGGTTTGATTATCTCATAATAATGGAGATACTGGGAAAATAACAATTACCTTGGGACATTGTCCAGGATCTTCAGAATGCAGTAACGTTTTTTTTTTCTATATCCATTTATAATAAGTTGATCCTGTTCTTTCTTTTCCTTTTCTCACGGATCGCATCAATTAAAATACCACTGTGCGTGATCTTGGCTGACATTTACATAATCACCATCGCAACTGCTTTGTTATGCTCGACACTGAAATGTGAATCCACATCTTCGTGGTTTTCATTTCATTTATACATCAAATTATCACATTTTGAGGGACATGAACATATTTTTAATGATATATGCACAAGCTTCAAATAATACAATCGCGCATTTTTCCGGAATTCTACGTTCACCTCACGTACACAGGATTTCAATGGAAAATGGCAAAACAAATGTCATAATTCTGATGATTTTATCTAAAACGGAAATTTGTTAAGTATTATGGAGAAGCATATTGAAAGGCTTCCAATTGACTTTTGAATACATTGCACCACTGGTTGCTTTTCATTCTATCATCTTATACAGGCAGTAGCAGTTGTAGGTCTGGGAACAGCACTTAAATTTTGAAAACTTTTCTGTGCTTTTTTTTCTGAAATTTTCAAAAAAAAATTTTTTTTGTATAAAATCCAATAGATTTTCATTTTTCCACACAACTTTCCTTATTAAGACAATTGCATTTTTTCATTGCATGTTTTTATCTGCTCTCATTAAAATTCAAGCAAAAAAAACTTGGAAAATTAAGCCGCAGAATTTCTGTATGGAACCAATATCAGCCAATAACTTCCATAGAAATATTGAAATTTATTGATTTCCTTCTATAGAATATTTGCTAGTGAACATGGAAAATCGGCGACAAATAAACAGAATTTTGAATAGAAGTCCAATAGAATTTTCTAGAGACTGTGTTTTTCTTTGAAATTTTTTTGTACGTGAGTGTTTAGAATCCTACGACTCACCTTCTGCCCAATAGAATTGATTGAATAAAAAAATGCAAGAAGTTTCCCAGGCTTTGAGACAAGTGAACCTCTTCAGTTCCACTGCTTCGGATTTATTATCGATGAAGTACAATGATACAGCTAAGTGGTGGTTAATTTCTCGGCTCCCTGGAAGCGTAACGTTACCAATGAATCTTCACAGTTCCCCGAAGTCACCTTACCCTGAAATTCAAACTGTCAAATAAAATGAGCGAACAAAAAGAATTCGCACATCCGAAGAACTGAAAAAATAGAGGAACAAACTGTTGTTTAATTTTCGAATCGAGACACCCCAGGTTAGAGAATTACAATCACAAAATATAAGAGAGAGAGAGAGAGTTCTGTGAAATATTCGTCACGTCGACAAAACACGCCAGGACCACCAACACACCTCGACTCCCCCAGCCTCCAGGTATTCCTACCTTTCTATTATACATCGTTCTCACTCATCCGTTTTCTTTCTATCGTTGTCGCTGTTGTAATACCAGCCTACGTTCTTCTTCGTTTCTATCGTCCAGCTTCTTTTTTTCATTTTCTCGTGTTTTTTTCGAATCCCTGTGCCGCCCCCTGCACAATTGCCAAGGCGTGAGAGTGCCCCAACTCCTGCAACAAACAATTCCAATACAATCAAATTTTTATAAAGATTGTAATCATTTTAAATTTGTAATGGGATTCATTAGTGCTTTATGAAACTTTGGAAATTGGCGTTGGTTACTTCTTTCAAAGTTTTCACTGTTATTTAAGGGATCATTAGGGGGCAATTAAACTTGGAGGACAAAATGTTATCAGTGTTATGGGGATAATGGTTTCCTTGCGTAGTAATGGGTTCATTAATTTGTTGAATTGGAAAGGGAAATTTGTATATTCATAAACTTTAATTCCAATTGGTGGTTTTGTGAATTCTTTTCGTGAGGGTTCTCAGGTTGTGCAGCTGGCGATTACAATGTCACAGAATTTTTATGAGCATTGTGATTATCAATTGGTAATGGTAGTCAATCGAAAATGCAGCGAAATCAGTAAAATTGTAGATTTTATGCATCAATTCAGATATCAAATGTTATACGGAGAACGGTAAATTCATTTGATCAAAAAAATTATCTTCCTTTTTGACACGCTAAATAAAATAACTTGACATTCCTCATTAGATCATTCATTGCTATCAAAACATTTTTGATGAAAATTTATTCACATTATTATTCACAAATTTTTATGGAACTCAACAGAAAATTCTTGGAGCAAATGTGAAAATCTCGGTCTGATAATTGCCTCTACAGAATACGAATCTTTTCAATTAACAACTAATTTGAATCTGAGTGTACAGATTCATATTAAAGTCTCGTGGATAATGTCTTACTTGGTGATAAGTCCATAAAAGCCCCGAGAGTAGTAAAATCATTTAAAAAATGTCGATTTCATGCATCCGGTTAAATGATAAATCTTATTCATGGGAACTGTTTTTAAAAGGAGATAGCTGCAGACATTGTTTCCAATCTGTTGTCCTGATTTATATACAAAAAAAAACTTCAATTTTAACTTAAGTAACATTTGTCTCAACGATGTAACAACATCACGATTTAACGCGAAGAACGAACTTAGCGATTTCTCGCGAAGGTGGTTGGCATTTGAAAATCATTATCAAGATATTCAGGCAATTAATAAAATATTGTTTCCATAAGAACGTAAATTCGTTTATTCAGGAGAATTATCGTCACTTACTTTCCGGCATCAATTTTTGGTGATAATCAGAATAATTGAACATTTGTGATTGGTTCATGCAAAGATATCAAAACATGAAAATTAACCCTTTACGTACGAGGTCGCCGCCCGACCGCGACCCTAGTCTAAATGGACGGCTCTCTTGGAAATTGAATATTTCCGAAACTATCGATAATAATTTAACCAAACACGCAACATTGGTAAAAGGGATACTGTTGGTTCAATTACGTATCGGTTTTACTATTATCCGTTCATAAAAAGCGATCAGATTTGAGTGATATTAAGCGTCCGACGCGCTTGATAACAAAAGGGCCCCGTCCGTGAGGGGTTAATAACGTGATAAAATTTCGCAACTGATAATTGCAAAATGACGCAGTTTTTTAGTGTAATTCCCTCCATAATCGTCGCTTTGAGGAGCTTATTTCAGTATGAATCTTAAAAACTCTTATCGAAGTCTTGGAGATAATGTTTGAAATACTCGTAAAATGTAGATTTCACACTTTTTTTTTATCGTTATTTTACATCGCTTCGACCCGGTTAGGGTATACTGCGATGATGATCAAGACTTTAAAATGGTTAGATTGCACCATTCTACCCGGCCGGGAGTTGAACTCGGAACCTTTCGCATGTGAGGCAACGAACCTACCCACTGCGCCAAGCCAACGGGAGATTTTACACTAAAAGAAAAATCGACATAAGGTAGCGGAGGCAGTTTCTGATCAGTTAAGCTCGGCGGGCTGAGGTCAAGGTGAAAAAAGAGAAAACAGCAAATAAAAACGGAGTGAAACTTCTTTTAAAGTGTAAAACAGACATTTAACATCAATTAAAAATCCACTTTTGAGCTACAAATATCAAATAATTAATAAAAAATTAACATTAAGAAAATTCCACCTTGGCGGTNAGGTTAAGGTGAAAAATGAGAAAACAGCAAATAAAAACGGAGTGAAACTTCTTTTAAAGTGTAAAACAGACATTTAACATCAATTAAAAATCCACTTTTGAGCTACAAATATCAAATAATTAATAAAAAATTAACATTAAGAAAATTCCACCTTGGCGGTAGTTTATGATCACGATTTAGTCGCATGAGGTAGTTTGTGATCACGAGTGGAGGCAGTTTCTGATCATTGGGATGAGGAGAATAATGACTTAATTTCCTACTTGTTTCATCTCTAACTGATCATTAAATTATTTTTTTTATTATTAATAAATAATCAGAGGTAGTTTTTAGCCTAAATTTCACATTTATTCAATGAAAATCAACTCGTGGCATCCCACCATTTTTCGATACTATTTTCATCGTTACAACAACGATAATTACCACCATGAGGGAAAGATAGGGTGAATATTTACATTGACAGATTATTAAACTGACATTTTCTTAAACAACTGTCAGTTGGCCTCAATTAATCCGAGCTGACAACTCATGAATCCTCCGATCAACAAATACCGACAGGTTAGAATTCAGGCGACAGTTACTGATCACCACAGTAATTATTGAAAATAATTTTTTTATCTATTTTTTATCATTCTGAGTTGTTCTCCTATGATTTAACTTGAGATTTATATCATATTTATGATCATTCGGTACTTACATGGTAAAATTTGAGTGCTGAAGCTTCAGGTACACACTTAGCTCATTCCACAAGCAAACGGCGAAAATGGCCGTTTCCCGCGTTCGCGCGCTTTTACCATTTATTTTTGACAGTTTACAGTGGTACCACTGCCACAATGAGATCACTAGCGAAAGCAGGGATTTTATTCTTTGCACTGTTGGTTTTACCTTCTTGATCAATTCAACTCAAACTTCGCACTTAATAAATAAATAGCCGAGTGATCAAGTACTACCTACTGATCAGAAACTGCCTCCGCTACCTTATCACAAAAATTATTTCTTCGGCGAAAAACATCGCACACATATTTGATCAATTTATGGTAGGTTTCAGACAAGAAATCGGTGCTCTTCAGGCTGAGGAGCAAATTACTGTATAAAAAGGTGATGTCTTTTTTCGAAATGAGATAATATTCCTTAAAAGACAAGAATAGTTTGACAGAAAGAAAAGAAGATATTGCTTCCCTTCGAACTTAAAATGATTGAACGTAAGCGACGGTTATATATATTTTTAATATCTGGAAGTTTTCCTCTGCATAAACTTTCTATTCATTCAACATGAAAGTCTCTGATTCATGATTCACTGAATCGAAGCTTTTAATATTTTTAGT